CTTTGATACTATTCATATTGTTCATTTTCTAATGATGTCTTCAGTTCTTTAATTGAAATGTGCATTGCTAACAGCGGAGCTATCTCAGCCGATAGGCTGCTTGTTTAAAATTCTTGCTTGTATTAATGACGGGGACTATGTAATCCTTTTTAATGACTTGTGATTTTTACGTAGAGCTGTGACACTTTAAAGAACAACTTTGATGACATAAAGCATACAACACTGAGTGAAAGAGGAGCTTTAAGAGAAGCAGCACGATGTCTAAAATGTGCAGATGCACCATGCCAAAAGAGTTGCCCAACTCAACTTGATATTAAAGCTTTCATTAGTAGTATTGCTACTAAGGTAAGTTGTTAGCTGTTTGTTACACCTCTGCTGATTGGTCAGTTAAAATCACATGTACAGAATTGTACATTTGAGTGTTGATGAAAATGAAAATTTTAGGGTGCAGTATATATATACTAAATTCTGCGTAAATTTGCCCTGGGCTGTTAAACGGCAGTCTGGGTTTTAAAAAAATAAAGTAGGACCAAGAATCATGATTTTTCGGCAGTTTTTAAAGTTGTTTTTTAAATATTTTGGTGTCATTTTTCAGACATTTCAATCTTTCTTGACACCTAAACAGAGTCTATTTATGTTTTTATTGCAAGAGTATGTTTATTGTGACTAACGTGAATGGGTAAGCTTTGTTTCGACAATGAACTGTTATCATTGTAAACAATGGTTCTAATGCTCAGTTTATCTTTTGAAAACAACTATTTCATGCCGTTTTCCCATCAAAATCCAAGCCAAAAGATCATACTGCAACATCGGCAAATCTCTTCCGCGTTGTGTTCAGTAACATTAACATATTTAAATGAGCTATGGTAATTTGGCATCATTCAGCATTTTTATTGGTTAATTGGCAATTTGACCTATTAGGTCATGCAAGAGAAAAACATGGCGGATACTCTACAGTATCAATCGTTTATGCGACCGGAATCATTTGCTACCGATGAAACTAAGTTGAATTTTATTTGCATTTCATAACAATTCAACGAATTGATGTTTTGTACGTTATTATATTCACTACTGAGTATTAATCAACAATTGTGAAACGCAGCATGACTGGATTGCGCAACCGCGATCATTTGTTGCTACGCAATGCAGTTGTGTTCGTATTTATTTGAAACTTCGTTTAGAATATACTTTCATTAGCAATAAAATTAAAAAAATGTATTTGACGTACCAGGTTCGTTAATGTGATTTTTTTGGGAGAAAAATGACACTGGGTGACATTGTAATGAAAGTTTAGTGGGTCTATTTTTAATTCAGCAAGAAAAAAATGAATCAAATTTTAGATTAGCTTCTGCAATTGTTTCTTTCGTCTTGGGTGGCCCAACTGCTAGCGTTGAACTCTGCATAGTTGGATTTTTCGATGAAAATAGAAGTCCCCAAAAAATATTTAATGATCTTTTTATGAAATTTGGAACTCCAAATAAGCGAATTTATGGCAGAATCCGGTACTATTTACTGAGCCTTTAAAGTGAGATCATTGACCGTAGTGGTATTTATTAAACCCATTACCTGAGATGACCACTAAATAATTGCCAAGAAGGTCGTTTAACTATTTTGTCATATACTGTTATTGACCCTTTGTCATTTCCTAATTACAAGGAAGGTAAAACAAAATGTACCATAAACTTAAGTTATGGACCATATATAAACCTGTATCACATCATACTGTGGAGATATGCACATTATGCATGTGCTAATGTCATTTAGACTTAAGTCAATTCACACTGGGTTAATTTGGTTTCAGAACTATTATGGTGCTGCCAAGGCAATATTTTCAGACAACCCTTTGGGTTTGACCTGTGGTATGGTGTGTCCTACCAGTGATCTTTGTGTTGGTGGTTGTAACCTTTTCGCATCAGAAGAAGGCCCTATAAATATAGGTGGACTGCAACAGTTTGCAACTGAGGTGAGTTCAGTGTCTACAATAGTTTGCAACTGAGGTGAGTTCAGTGTCTACAATAGTTTGCAACTGAGGTGAGTTCAGTGTCTACAATAGTTTGCAACTGAGGTGAGTTCAGTGTCTACAATAGTTTGCAATTGAGGTGAGTTCAGTGTCTACAACAGTTTGCAACTGAGGTGAGTTCAGTGTCTACAATAGTTTGCAATTGAGGTGAGTTCAATGTCTG